GAAATCAGAGAATAGAAGTTGAGAACAGGAACTTGCACATAAACCATGTTCACTAAGCTTCTTGTTTTCAACTAGGCGTGCAACAAGCCACCACGGCGTTCATTCAAACAATGGACATTAACTTCAATTTGGATTATCTTGCTAACTCAATGAAAAGACAACCCCATTTTTTACATTTCATCGTGATGAAAATCATGTCATTCTATTCCTCCAAATATCAAGACTCAGACAAATATGCTTTATGCATGTTTGCCAGTGCCAAAAAAGGTTCAAACAAAAAAAACCAACACCGTATCTAATACAAGTAGACATAATTAAAAACCGTCACAAGTTGAGCATAATTAACAATATTTCACAATCAGCTTATGAAAGAAAACAAAAGATTTCAAGTTATCAACATGAACAATATAACAGGGGAGTAACGTAACGATTCAATATTGAACTAACCAATGAAGGCGAAAATACCTGCTCTCCCATGAGCAAATTGACATTTTGCACCAAAAAAACAGCTCCCGTCCCTTTCCCAGCGGTTGCAAAGCCTGGTCTTCATCCTTGTACGAAAATCCACAAACCTCTTGGGTTCCACATTATCAGAATAACTCTTATTTTTCACTTCATCCCCACCAGTCACAATGGTTATCGCAGCACTCTCTCTGTATTCACTTTTCCCTTCCTCAACATAACTTTGGTCATACCCACCCCCCTGCAAAGGCCCGTATGTAGACCCACCAGTAGTATGAACGTAACGACACCTTTCACCATAAGTGCAGTAACCCCACTTTTGGAATCGTGTGCATATTGACCTGTTACCTTCCTGGGCCATTCTTGAATTCGTCTCTGTGGGTTTCTTCAATACACATTCAACATTAAAATTAGACCCACATTTTTTATCACTATACTCATCACATTTACTAGAAATTTCACTATTATTAACAAGACTACTCATCTTCCTACTGTTTGGGGTTTCAAGGGTTTTGTAAAAAAAAATCTGTATTTTTTGAAGAAAACTCAGATGATCATCATGTGTTAACAACTCTACTGCTAAATTTTATCAATATTTATTTTCCAGAATGTTCATATTATCTTTTAAAGTGGAATCTCAAAGATTTAAAAAGCACAAAAGATTAAAAGTTTCAATTTTTCAAAATGAGGCGATTCAGTTTTTAGAAATCAAAAGATTGTACTGAAGAGTCATTTGCCAGAAACTCAGAATTCAGAAAGCAAATGACTGAACAAGTGAGAATTTTCTCTTACTTTAGTTGACTAAAACGACGTCGATTTGGTTAATCATTATTTAAAACAATTAATCAACACTAATATAATAGATTGGAATTCTTTTGAAATAAATAAACCTAATTTTGAGTAATGTTTTACAAGGTATTTTACTCAAAAAAATCTAACAAGCAAAAGTTAATGTATGATGGTAAGATGTTCCTGGTTCGATTTGGATCAATTTTCTTTCAATATTTAATCAAATCAACTAAATAAATTTTTTAAATGTTGAAACTATTAAATTGTTTTTTTATCGATTTTGTTAAATAAAAAAATATGAAAAAATAATTTAATTACATCAATCACTCAATAACATTATATGTTTTGTCCAAAAAATTATCCATTTCCAAAGAACACAATGAAATTTCTTACCATTAATTTTTTTAGTGCAAAAAAAGCAAGATCTAGTAATAAATACATCAAAATATCTTGATAATAATTGAATTAAACAATAATGAATGATTGAGTACTCAGGAAACAAATTATTCTGAACATAAAATAAATTCATGACATTTTAAAAATAAAACTTACAAATCAAATCAAACAAGAAAATAAAGGCAAAAAATTACATGTGCAGTGTATGTGCAATTATTATTTTTAAATAGGTATATATATAGTCGATTTGGTTCAACTTTTTAAGGTTTTTTTCCCCTTAAAATCAAATCAAACCCAATTTATCAATTTTTTAAATTTAAAAACAAAATTTCTTGTTTTAAAATTGAAAACAAACCAAAAAAAATGTTGATTTTTTTTATTTGGCTCGATTTGATTTTTTAATTTTTTATGAACATCTTAGATGGCCGGATAAATGAAAAAAATTAATAATAGATATCGATAGTTGTCCAATCTGACCGAAACAAGTAGAGTGAAGTCCAGAACAAATATTTCGAGTCGATAAATACATCTACCGATTAATCAAATTTCTAAAGGTTGGAATAGATCCTAAAGAGCCAACACTTTCTCATAAATTAATCTTGAATTGAGATCTTTCGATGTTTTCTAGAATAACGCTTTTGATAAAATAGAATCTGCATTCAATCATGATTAAAATGACAGTAATGATAAAAGAATGATATAAAGAGCAAAACAAGAATTGCTTCAACTAGATCTTTAATGTACTTCATAAGTTATCATAACTAAATCTCAGCTTCAATTGAAAAAAAATAATAAAAGGAATTAATTTCCCATCACATACCTGATTTTGCCAAGAAATAAGAATTGTTGCTCTCTACTTTTCTGCTAAGTTACACTAGTTCTGCCCATATATAATATATATAGTGCAAGAGCATAGATTATCATAATACTTGTTAATGAAAAATTTGTGTGGTGTCCGGGTCAAATATTTGTTCACAAATTTATTTTTTAAGCGGTGCTAATTAAATATTATTAAATGAAATTTCATTAAATGTTAAGTAAGTACATGATTAAATAATTTTAATTTTTTCTCAAAAATAAATTATAATATATATATTTATGTGGTACTAGTTTTGACGCACGTGCGTTGCACGTAAAATCAAACCATGTACCACACTATTTTAAAATATAATATGAATATTGCTAAATAAAAAAGGCATTATACATAAATGTGCCCTTAACTTGGCTTTATTTCACATTTATGCCCTCAAACTTTGGGTATGCACAAGTTAGGGGGTATTATAGTAATTTAACATTCAAGTTAGGGAGTTCATGCTTTTAAGGTAGTATAGATAGATATAGATTATATTTATTTTTTTCTCGCAAATCTAACGTGAAGAGTTTCATTAGGATGTTCATAATTAAACTATTTTTTTCATCAACCGTTGAATTTTACTCAAAATAGTTACAAAATTTACATAAATACTACTGATATTCAAAGTAATAAATTTATAACTAAAGGATATGAATTAAAAAATAAAGGGCATAGCTAAAATGAGTCCCATAATTTTGAAAAAAAATGTACACTAATTAAATTAAAGCAAAAAAAATTAAAATCCAAAATACTCTTGCTTAAGCAGGAACGTCGACGGAGAGAGGCCTACTTCAATCTCAAACTCTCTCTTATATAATAAGAGAATTTCAAAATACCTTTGCTCAAGCAAACACGTCGATGGAGAGGTGTATGTTACCGCCTCAAACTCTCTTTTATATAATAAGATAAAATACATTATTATAAAATAATTATCAAGAAACTAAATGGACGAAATTCAGATCATATTGACCATGAATATAGCACTTAAAAATCAATGTTATATTATATTATATTTATTTATAGTACATTGTAAAGTAATATCTGACACGTTTGATTTCATTATAAATATTAAATCGAGATAAAGTAATTTATAGATGATTGAAGAGATAATTTATGAATTAGTTGAAAGAACATGAACCTCTCTTGCGTGTTTAGTTGATTAACTTTTCAAATCTTTAATTTTATTTGAAAATGAAACTCAAAAAAGACAAAATAAACAAGAAAAGGGAAATGGAGATTGGTATTCACTGTATTAATTCGGATATTTGTTATCGTGCTTATTATTCTTTTCAACTACTAAATGTAAATTGAAATTTTATTGTCACTCTTATGTTAAATGTTTTGATTAAGAGATCAACCTTTTAGATGTCACATTATTTAATATCATAATTATTATACATGTAATTTAATTATGAATCAGCGTTTTATTGAAAATTGAGGAAGGAGATGCTAATAACGAAAGTATTTTTAGACGTTTTGTATAATAGAGGGTAGAGGGTAAATAAAATCTTTTTGAATAGTATAAAAGAATAAATTTGACCTCTTTCCCAATGGTATAATAGAATTTCAATTTGCTCTGGAAGAATAAATTTGTTTTGACCACATTATCATTAGGATTAGTGAATATTGAAGTAAAACCTAACTTTCTTTACTCATCTTTATTTTTGTTGAATTTTTTAATTTTTATAATTAATAAGAGATCTTTAGACACGTTATCTAGGAATATAAATTCGTCCAAAATAAAATCGAACACAAAATTGAAATGATCTATTTTTGTTGCTATTATTTTCTGAAATTGTTTTCCCCAACTATGATTGAGTAGTAATAAAAATTGATGTTGTGGTAATTGTATTCAGTCAAAGTCCCTCCATCACTGAGCAAAACATACTTCGATGAAAAGAATTTCTCCAATCCTCAACGATTTTGAATTCGTGCTATATGAACTAAAAATTTCATAGTATAAAGTTAGATTACTCCATCAGTAAATTTTGAACAAAAGATAATATGAAAAAAGGATCAAATATATCTTTCAAACTATTCAAAATAGGTCCCATTTACTTTTACCTTCATCATGTTTTTTATTCGAAAATGTCTTTAAAATATCATAAATACCCTTCTTACCAATTATTACACACAAATTTTACCTTTAAACTATTCGTAATTGATAATTAAATATCCTTAATAATGTTTAGGGCGGAGGATCCAATTAAGTTTAATGAGTCAGAGCAAAACAACCTTTTAACAATTTTCACCATCAAGGTATATAATGAAAACAAAATACGGTTAATGCATAATCCAAGCACATCTTTTAACAAATGAATTAAACAAAATCCGCAGATGAATCAATAAACTCGGTCCATCTATTGAACCTTATTTTATAGCAGGGAAAGAAGGGAGATGACACCTCCTCTACAAATTCCCCAAACAACAAATTACAAAATATGGAATCAAAAAAAATTATGAAGCGAATGAATAAAAAAATGGTATGAATTCTGAAATCAGAATTTAAATGCCGGTATTAGGATTGTGTGGGTTGATTGGATAATTTGTATTGCCTGGGAGGGTTGTGGTACTGGTTGGGAAGTCATCATCGAAGTTGATAGTGCCTGGCTGGTTAAGATAATTGCCACTAGAAGTGTTACTAGTGTTGTGTGGAGGATTCATTCCGAGAGTATTTTTGACCGCATCAGCTGCGCCTTGTGCCATGTTTGCTGCACCAGTTGCAGCTCCTCGAGCTATGTTCACTGCACTTCCTGCTGCTCCTTGAGCCATGTTCTTCACTTGTGTCCCCGTCTGACAACAATAATAACATTCACAATGTATTCGATTTTTCAATTTAATTGAAATGGTGGTTACCTCTTGAAGCAAGTTTGTTGCCTGGCTTTGGTTTTGGTTATGGATGTCGGATGGTTGGTTCAATAAATCTTCCCTTCTCATCTACAATTGATTAGAAACATGAAATAAAAAAAAATGAGAATTCGGACGAATTAGCTCAAATGAACTCAATTTTTATATGACTTGAATTGAAGAGGTTGACACGGGGTGGAACCAATTAAATCAACAAGTCATGATTTAACTCGTTCAAATTAAATGAGTTAGATAAATTATATTTTTATGGTTGAATTTTGACATCCCCAAAGTAGTATCAAGAAGAAAGAAGAGTGTAATGAAACCTGAGCTTGGCCGGGCACTTGGATACTGCTATGAAAGTTGTCGCTTCCTCGATTTGCCATGTTAATTGGTTTTTGTTGCTTCGTTTTGTTTATTATGTGTTTAAATCTATTGTAGATCAAAATGCAAAATATGGAATCGATTTTGAAATTATTGGATTAGTGAATTTATAAGCACAATTTGTGATCTCAATTCATGCATATTCTAACACATGGCACACTGCTGGCGGATGATTTTGATCGGACAACAACTTCTCTAAGGAAATTACACATCCGTTTATTTTAAGCAAAATTATTAGTAATTTAATAGTAGTAAGAAATATTTACTGGCCAATGTCTAATTCTCGTAATTAGGAACTGATTAGCCAATAATTTCTCATAGCATACTTTTAACTTGTCCTTTCTCTAATTCTCTGATTTATGTTTTCTTGGGTAACTCTTATGTACAGTTAAAATAAAAAAAAGTCAGTGCTGAGTCGCAGAGAAGTAACATTAATCTCTAGTATATGGTAGCAGCAGGAAGTTTATTGATCCTTGCGAAATGTGGCAAAGATAAGTTTGACTTCAGAACGGAAGCTAACAACAGCACGGCACGTGTCCTCTACACGCGTCAGATAACAGAATGCGTGTCAACAATGTATCGCACTACCAACTCTTTATAAACCATGCACAACCTCTTTGCTTCTCATCACTACTTCAATCTGCTTATAACAATCTTCCCATATATACTATACTATTGCTCTTCTGCTTTTTGCTTAATTTTGTGCACATCTATTTCAGTTTGTTACTTCAACACTGCAACAATGTCCCACGAGCAGAGCTACAGAGCTGGTGAAACCAAGGGCCAAACCCAGGTACATCGGTTACTTCTTTTTTTTTTGTCTTAATTTATGTGTATTTTTTTGTTTTGTTTTAATTTATGTGACATTGTTTGAGTATAGGCGAAGGTTGGTCAAACACTGGAAAGCATGAAAGACAAGGCCCAAGCAGCGAAGGACAAAACTTCGGAGACGGCACATGATAAGACAAGTGGAGCAGCTCAGGCAACCCATGATAAGACGAGCGGAGCAGCTCAAGCTACTAAGGATAAGGCAGCTGGAGCGGCTCAGGCAACCAAAGATAAGACAAGTGGAACAGCTCAGGCTACGAAGGAGAAGGCTAGTGGAGCAGCTCAGGCTACTAAAGAGAAGGCTTCAGAAATGATGGAGTCGGCTAAAGAAACGGCTCAAGCTGGTGAAGAGAAAGCTGGGGGAATCCTCCAGCAGACTGGACAACAAGTGAAGAGCATGGCTCAAGGTGCTGCTGATGCTGTGAAGCACACTTTTGGTATGGCTGATACTGATGAAGATCCTGATGTTACAAAAGACAAAACTTTAAATCACTAAACTAGCCTAGTCTAGTGGTTTTTTTTTAAACTTGGATCTCTTTAATTTCTTTCTTGATGGATTCAAGTAGTCATGTATCTTGCGTGTTTAGCAGCTGCTTGTTTGTTTCTTTGAAGTTCCCCCCCTTTTGAGGGGGATATAATAAAACATTTGCACTTCTTTGTACGTACGTAATCTGTGAAACCGTAATCTGTGAACCTTCAATATCAAGCTACGGGGTTGTGATTCTTAAGAATGCTTGGGATAGCAGTACTGTTTAAATAGGATTTTGATCTTTAAAGCCAATTGGAGGGGTAAGCAAATGAAATTCTATTCAAAATTTCAACCCTTCTGTAACTAAAAATTTCATTCAACTATCTTCTTAAAATCTACCTATTCATGACTTAGCTGTAATATAGTTTAATTCTCTTGCAATCTCGATTATTTTACGTTTTTTTGTTAATCAACTCAACTTTGTAAAGAGTTGCTTATCTAAAAGGTCTAGATCTCATAATCCCAACTAATACTTAGCTTAACCTCACTTGCGAAACTTGGGCTCTCAGTTGAACTGAGAATGCAATAAAACATGATTGAATCTTAGTACAAGCTCGACACAGAAGTTAGATTGTAGCAAAACCCTATCTCAAATTGGATATTTTAGCAGTTCAATACTCGAACTCATCTCTTTCGGATATTGCAAGCTTTAATCGGAACTTTAGCTCAACTCGAATCATTTCATTTGTGCCTTGAAACAAAATTTTGTAGCTATTGCCCATCTCTAAAAGAATAAAATACAAAAGTAGCTTACAGAAGGAAACAAAAAATTTGCAACTCTAACTTTATCTTTGATGCACACTCATGACAATACATGGTAGGCAGATAAATAATTTTAGCCCTCTGGAGACTCAAAAAATCAGATGATATTTTGATTCTTCTTAAAACAAAGTCATCACGTCACAAAGCTTTCTTTCGTTTGTATCTTCTATCGAGTCGGTATGTGTTGATATCTGAGTCATGACGTCTATTTGGATCCGTTGGCCCTTTCCAAGATAGTGCATTTGTCCGACATATGTATTGCATTCCCACAAAACTGACTGAATTCTTGTTTGGAACTCACTCGCTCATGCCATCACTTCCTTCGTGATCACTAATGTCGCTGAAAGCCTCGGGTTCCTCAATATCTGGGATGCTTTCTGTTTCCATAGTAACTTCAGAACCCTCCTCGTCACTGTCATCGTTATCTTCATATATGATGGGCTGTATGGCACCATCTTCATCATCACCGTCATCAATAGTCTGCAAAAACATAAATAAATTTGTCAAGATTCAGTCCAGGAGAGGGTGAGAGGGGGGACGTAATTGAGAGATTCACATTCCGCATTGTCCTTACCCCTGCGTAAAGCAATTCTAAGGAACTTGATAACTGAAGAGCTTGGGGGAGAGTTGAAAGTCTCGCATCAATAAGCTGCACGAAGACCAACAAAGTAGCTTTAATTACATTCTACCAGTTGCTATAGGTACTCTATCAACATATTTAAGAGTTACTACCCTAACCTGATATAAAGAGTTGAGTGCAAGCAAAGAGGATTCTTGAGACATTATTCCACTGGCGTGTTGGAGAAGCAAACTTCGCAGCCAAGGAAGCGCACAAGCCAATACAGCACCCCTGTCAAGAAAAAGTACCATAATTAACATTAACTCGACCAATCTATGACAACAGGAACTTGCGAGAAGGCAACTGCACGTTGCAGATGTGGATGGCAGAAAGGTTTTCACTATATTGATAGCATTGGACAATATATTAAACAGCAAATGACAGTTTGAGCCACGTAATGAGTCTCATAGTTAGTATTCACCCCTAAGGTGCAATCTAACTTGATATTCTTAAGGTGGTCAAATGAAAATTTAGACAAAATACCATAAAAGGAATATCCAGGTTAGGAAATCCACAAATCTCCTTTACCTTGACTGGATAATTGACAAGAGTGACTGTAAAAGCTTGAGAACGTCTGAAGGATTTAAAAGAGAGACTGAATTTTCAATGACCTGGAGAGTCAAGATACATCCCACTGATTAGGAAATAAAACATCAATCAGATGCTAGAACCCTGAAAATAATTCAGTTGAAATATAACCTTCTCATCTTGTCTGTATAAGCAATCTATCAAAAGTGCTCGATCATCAGCATGAAGTGCTTGCTTCAGCAATACATGAACTGAATCAGCACTTGGAGGCTTCGTTTGAAGAGCAGATTCTAGATTCTTGTTGCTTTTATCTTCATTATTGTCTTCCAAATGGAGCATTATGAGTTTCTCGCCCATGGTTGGCTCGCTAAAATCATCAATCTGAACTCCGTCAATAGGTTCACCATTACCTACACATCATCAGACAAAAAGGTTATTCTCTATAAGGTAGTGAATGCTTTTCAAGTCTCTAATATCAAATGACCCCTTGTCGTAATGCTCAATACACAGAAACATCATAAAGATGACACATAAAGGTCCACCCACTAAAGGACAAAAATAAATGACCCCTTCCAAAGGAGATGAACAGGTTGTCTACTGAACACCAACTGACCAACAGACTGATCAGGTACCAAACAACTCCTGAGGTCTATTCTACAGGAAGCAGTCTGCTTGTAAATAATAGCCCTCATAACACAATGTCCATCTAGGAAGCCCTAAAATGTCAAGACATCCAAGATAATAATTATATCCAATTGCAAGAGGGAGTATGCTATTCCCAGACTTAAACTCTCCCTTTTACTACTTAACACTAGGCTTGACGATTAAGTTTTTTGTAAAGGGATATCAGGTAAATGGACCGGTACAGATTCTCTATATACTGAATTTTACTTTATTCTTAGTCATTCTCCAATACATAAAGATAAGTCATCTGTGGTGGAGAACTGGAGATCACTAAAAAGCAAATTGCCTTGGAGAGCAATAGGTCTGGGGAGCCACCTAAAATACATATGTTGGAACTCAATATGAGTAATGCAAAATATCATGCGACATATCATACCATTATCCGTAATAGTCGCTTCACCAGTGACATCCAGATCAGATGCTGGTCGTTTGTTTGTCACTTTGCTTCTCTGGATTAAGTTAGCACCTTCAACTTCCATATCTCCACCTGAAACAGAGGGAGGAGGAGTCAGAAAGATTACAAGGACAACTCTATTCTTGAAACTGTTCACATCATAAATAAAAAAATGTCAATTTATCATTCACATGATGTATCAGTGCGCATGATACATGAGATTCTCAAAAATCTTTTTTTGATAAAAATTCTCAAAAACCTTTGTTAAAACTAATAGAGTGATGGCCTCATTTGCAAAGAAGTTGGCAACTTAACAAATGCTTTAAATCTCTCTCAGTGACTATTAGACCATCTAAAACGTCAAGACAAGAATTCAAGTTTAAGAAAATGTAGCTCAGCGCTGTTTGGCCAGTCAGGAGTACAAACGGAAGAGGGGTGACAGTGACACAGACTTCTGTAAAGGAGTTTTGATTTTCCCACAAGGAAACAGCAACACATAAACTGCTATTAAAAACACCTTTTTTGGCATGGCCGTTTTCTTGAACTGAAGCAATCATTTTCTCGGTCTGGTCTCCTGCTGCTATGACGATATCCTCCCCTGGACTTGAAATGTCTACTGATGTAAACTCTGGGGTATCAACAGAGCCATAAGCAATCAAGGCTCTCAAATGTGCATCTCTATCTAAAGCATGCAATCTTGCAGCGATTACGGGCACAAGATTCCTTCTAGCTCTTCCAGCTCTCTCATCTGTTTCCCCTTTGCTGGATTTTACTGTGATCTTAATTGGCTTTGCAGCTTCATCAGTGATGGACTCAAAGTTCCAAACATAACAAACACCCTTCTCTGATGTTGCAAGGATAACCATACAATCTACTCCCTTGCAATTATTCCTGCATTCAACCATTACAGGAGGATGTTTCATGGAAACAACATGCCCATAATCTGCAGCCCTTTTCCCAAAATCAAGTTTCCACACTTGAAGTTGTTTCTCGCCAAGCCCAGCGGTAACAGCAAATTGGGCATCATCAGATAGCCAAATATGTTGTGCAGCAGCCTGTTATAGCAGCTTTTTATATTTATGGATCTTTGTAGACTTCAAATAACATTACATAATGAAGACAAAACTTGAGACAGCTTACTGAATCAGGAGAAAACTTCAGCAACTCTTTCCCGCTTTCTGGACTTAGAAATCGCAACTTATCACTGGCCACAGCTATAATTTTCTCGTCTTCGCAGTGAGAATAAGGAAGTCAGATAAGTACTTAAAGTAAAAAAGCAATTTAAGACATAAGTTGGATACAAACCAGTTGAATGAGCAACTGAAGAAATGGGCTTCTTTGACACTTTGAACTCTTTGTTGACTTCTCCAGTTTCGGAGTTCATCTCAAGTACTAAACCATTCGCAGCAACAGCATTAATCCTACGACCTTTGCCCACAAAAAACAGACCAGTAGCTCCGCTGCATTCAAAAGCAAGATATTTCTTATTTACACTTTATGTTTTTGGTGAGAACAAAGGCATCCATCATTCAAGGGGTGTTCATTACTGTCTACGTGTTTCTTGGCAAGTACTTCTCCATCCAACATAAGAGCAAAAGTACCTTCTGTCAAAAAAATAACATACCTAGGAAGGGCTCCATCTTTTCTCCACCTTACCAATTTAGCGGAAATGTCAACTGCTAAAACACTTCCGTCATCTGAGCCAAGAGCTACTAATAGACATTGTTCTTTTCTGCGCTAAAAATTCAAAACAAAAAGATACCACATAGTCGTGAGATTAAAAATAGCCTAACGACGTTGACACTATTATCAAAAGTGTTACAGTGAAACAATTAGAGCATTGACTAAATATTCAAATTCACACATAGAGGTGGAGAGATCAGATCTTGTACAAAAAACGTAAGCTGATCTTTTTTTTTGATGAAGAAAAAATTTGGCTGATTTTTTACCACTACATCATTACAACAATCAAAGCTACTTTTTTCAACATTCTCTGTCATACCTTCTTTCCAATAATACAGCACGCCATGTAAGAGAAACTGTCTCCAGAATTCTCCGGTCTCCACTGACCAAATAAGCTTCCACTACTTGTGTTCCAAACCTGAATCATGCAACAATTAGTCACCAAGTATGTAATAAGTAAAGCAAA